CCATTTTTTCATCAATGAAAGTGAATGTCTTTTTCAGCATACCGAGAATTTGTAAGGACTTGGAGACAACTGTTTGAATATGAGCACTCCACTTGAGGTTAGATGTAAAAATGACTCCTAAATCACGTTCTTTAGTAGAGCTTCTTAGAGATTGGTTGATTCCTTGGTTATTTTGAAGAAAGTAATTGTAATGGGGGTTGTTTCGACCGTAATGAATGACGCAGCATTTTGAAGTGTTTAGCTTAAGTAACCAAGTGTTTGACCACTCGTATACCAAGCGTAGACGATCCTGCAGATCAACAAAATTAGATTGCGATAAGGTTTTAGAAAAAAGTTTAGTATCATCGGCAAATATCTCAGAAGTTTCAGTGAGTTTTGCGAGATCATTTGTGTAGAGAATGAAGAGGAGCGGGCCGAGAACAGAACCTTGAGGAACACCACTGAGAACATCAACCCATGCAGAGCTGGTATTGTTAATTGTAACGCGTTGCTTTCTGCCCACTAAAAAAGATTTAATTCATTGTAGGAGTTTGCCGTTTATTCCGAAAGATCTTAATTTTAACAAAAGTCTGTTGTGAGGTACAGAGTCAAACGCTTTGGCAAAGTCAAGATAGATTACATCAATAAGTTGGTGAGATGCTATGGAGGACGAAATGATATCAAAAGTTTCTATTAGGTTAGTTACGCATGATTTATGATAAAGGAAGCCATGTTGATTTGCAGAGAGCATTTTATTATCGTTAATGTGCTTTAAAATTTTTTTCTTTACAAGTTTTTCAAAGATTTTACAGGCAACAGATGTTAGTGAAATAGGTCTATAGTTTTCAGCAAGTAATTTATCTCCCTTTTTTTTATAGAACTAATATTTGCTAATTTCCATTGAGTGGGTACTAACCAATTTTAAATTAAATTTACCTTTTTGTCAAACATTAGAATCCTACATTCCGTGTATTAATTAAATTTCCGAGGTAGTTTATATGTGTTAGTAATATGCACTCATAGATAGTAATTTTCATTTATATTTATTTGAAACTTGTTATTAAAGTTTTTAGTTTATTGTTGAACTGATACATAAAAATTTAATGCTGATAGATGCTAAACCTGAAGATTCTAAAATTTGCAAATTAAAATATATAGCACCTTTATTGAACAGGGAAATAAGGTCAGCTTACAATCGAAAGAACATCAAATATTTATAATAAAATATATAAATTAAGTAAAAGGTGTTTGTCAACCAAATAAACAATATATGGAGTATCTTTATCTCTTCTTGAATTATTTATTTTATTTAGTTCAATATTCATCTTAACATATAGTTTCTTAATATCATTATTAGTAAAAAATAGATTTGTATCATCAGCAAACATAAAGGAATTTAGTTTCAACGACGGACTGCATAATTTTTATAAATTAAAAACAAGAACGGACCAAAAATTGATTCTTTGAAAATAACACATTAGAATTTGGTACTTCAATTTATTTAAGTGAAAAGAGTTAAAACTGAAAGCTTGGGGTAATGCTTGGGGTAATGCTTTGGATAATGGTAATGAATGTAAACTGAAGTCTCTGTTTTCTACAACAGGAGCATGTAGCATATAATCAATTTTGAAGATCGTTCTATTCACACCAAATCACAGTTATCGGTAAATTATAGTATACAGCAGCATATAGTGTTTTAAGTGTTCTTTTTTTTATGCAGGCTTGTTTAGCCGAGTCGGAGCCGGAGCCGTGGAACCGGGAGCCCCTATTTTTAGTGGAGCCGGAGCAGGATTTAGAGCCGTAAAAATAGAGCGGCTCTTAGCTCTAGTGTTTTTTTAAAGGAATTCAATGTAAGCTTTTTTTTTTTTTTTTTATTGAAGACAAATTTTATTGAAGACAAATTTTTTAACTAATTTGTTGATTGAATTTTTTATTGAATTTCTATTTTTTTGAAAATGTTTTTTTTAACCGCTAAAGACTTGCCAAAACATAATAAAAACGAGTATTTTAACAATTTTGTACTCAATAAAATACTATCCTTTAATATCAGTTCCAAATATCCTTTATTAAAAAAAAACAAAAAAACAAGTAAATTATATATGGAAACATTCTTACAGTATTACATATATTGCCTTATACTACATTTTTATATTGATATTATGCTGTTTAATATTTGATGCGCGATTTAATGATCAAAGGTTATTCATATCTTAAAAATTATACTACCCAGTTGGTACGAAACGTATGAAAGGCGTATTTTAAAAGTTTTTTTAACGTTTTGGACGTCTTTTGAACGTTTTGGACGACTTTAGAACGTTCAAAAGACGACTTTTTTTTTAGGTATTGCGCCCACTGGGTAATATTATAACTAAAATTAGAATTAAAAACTCTAGTTTGGGGTAAATAATATATGAAGTAGTATAAATAGTATAGAACAGTAATTACCATTTTTCTTTTCAAATATAAGAGCAGTGATAGTAATTGTAATCATGAAAATTAGTCAAAAATTATCATAATTGCTGTAATTAGTTTGGTTTGGATTGGCAAATGATCAAAAAAAATGTTCCAAACTTTAAGATTTTTCTTCAAATGTAAAACTAATTTATCTTAGTTTGTCTTCATAGTTTATAAACATTATTAAATAAATAGGATATTTAATAAATATTATTGAATAAATACAATATTCAATAAATATTTTTGAATAAATACGATATTCAATAAACATTATTGAATAAATATGGTATCTTTTTTTAAGCAAGGTTTCAAAAAAAAGAGTTTCTTATTAATTATCTATACTGCAGTCGTTTTTCAAAACGCCTTCAAGTAAAAAAAAATCACAACTGATTTTCTTACTTAGATGCCTACAAACTGAAGGCAAACTTTAGCAAAATTGTAGCAAAAAATTATTAAGAGAAACTCATTGTAAAAAGTTTTTTAAAACGAATTTTTTTTATGAATTTTTTCATAATTCTACAAAAATATTCATTCAATAACGATTGTAGCCTACAATTTTTTACAATGACTTTCTCTAGGCAAATTTGCACTTGAAGTTGGCAAATTTATAACTTTATTAGGCAATTATCAAATGATTGTAAATGAGGACCGTTTTTTTTGTTAAATATTTTTTTAGTCGATTTTGTGTGTGTGTGTTTGTGTGTGTGTGTGTGTGTGTATGTGTGTGTGTGTGTGTATGTATAGTGATTCTATTTTGGAGTGCATATACAATCAAGAAAATGCTCGATAAACTGAACCAGAGCTTTAAAATAATATATATGCAGAAAATGAAATTACGTGACTTTTTTTATCCTATTGCAATCATCAGGTGAAATACATTTTTTTTCGTTTAAATATTAATAAACAAATGGAACTTATTACGTAAAACTATGACATAAGACTATTGTTACGAGCGCGTGGATCTAAGCTTTAGGTTTGTGGTTCCTTAATAGGAATTTGTTTTCGCGACAGTTTTAATCAGTAGATCTTTGGATTTTTGATAAAGTTAATTAATTAGTTTTTCATATAAAAAGAGAAGCCATTTTATATAAACCTCGTTACGAAAATAAAATCCTTTTATTTCTAAGATTAGATCGAAGCGCTCCTTATTAGTTCTATAGAAAAAAAAGTTGTATTTTACCTGATGATTGCGATAGCATGAAACTTGAAGTTGCAAAAATTACGTAGTTTTATTTTCCATATATGTATAGTATACATTGTATACATATATGTATATATATATATATATATATATATATATATATATATATATATATATATATATATATATATATATATATATATATATATATATACATGTATAAATATATATATATATATATATATATATATATATATATATATATATATATATATATATATATATATGTATTCTTTATTATTTTTTTAAAACTCATCAACAAATTTCAAATTTCATGCAATACTCTTGTAGTATATATATATATATATATATATATATATATATATATATATATATATATATATATATATATATATATATATATATATATATATATATATATATATATATATATATATATATATATATATATATATATATATATATATTCTTTATCATTTTTTTAAAACTCATCAACAAATTTCAAATTTCATGCAATATCCTCTTAGTGCTTGGTTTTTATAACCTTTCAAAGTGTACAGCCACCTCAAAATGAGGGGATTATTGTATAAAATTTGAAATTTGCCGATGAATATAAATTTAGATGAAATAAGTAAAGAAAGTGTATTATATATAAATTCAATGTTCCCGTTAAAGTGCTGTGGTGAAAGGAGCGAGATAAAATTAAAAAGTTTTTTTTAGTCCCGGCTCCGACCGTCGCAAATTTTTGCAAAGCTTCGTTAGTTGATACGAGCATGAACATAAATATAAAGAGTTTATTTTAAGAAAAACTGGTTCCGCCGTTTAAAAATAAAGTTTAATATTTAAAAATAAAAAAAAAATTTCTCATAATTTTTATAACTCTTATAGTCTTTTATAAAAATAGCAAATTGTATATTTGTGAAATGTCACGCACTTTTTGTGACACTAAAAACAAGTTTGTGGATAAATAGGCATATTTTTTTCATATTAACAAAGCTGAAATAAGCACAAAAATTAGTTAAAAATATAAATTAGTTCCATTTTTTTATTTTGCAAGTTTAACAAACCAAATCACATTTTTAGTAAATTTAACAAACCATTCCCCCCTTTTTTTTTAGCAAATTTAACAAACCAAATCACTTTTTTAGTAAATTTAACAAACCATTCCCCCCTTTTTTTTTTAGCAAGCTACCAAACCTTTTTTTTAACGATGTTTATTTGTTTATTTTCGTTTATTGATACCTAAAATATGTAATAGGATTTTGCATTTGCTAGCGTGTGCAAAATTTTATAAAATTCATGGTAAACTAAACTCATTTTCTCTTCATCTCCCGGAAGATAAATTTCAATGATTACATTTTCATTGTTTTCATCACTTTTTGTCACTTGAAAGTTAACCATTTCGTCATCAGTAATAATTTTATCAGCAAACTTTTGTTCCGTGTTACAAGAAAATAAAAAAGAGTCACTTTGATTAACATTTGCTGTGGCTATAAATAACATTTCCAAGAGATCTAAATTACTCGGTATTTGGCTGTATTCTGAAAATCCAAAGAGTTGGGTCGTAAAATTGCAATATTTTACAAACACTTTAATATCGTTCATTTTTACTTCCAACTTTTATTTTCCTAAAATAAAAACAGTACAACATATTTAAAAAAAAAGCAATTATGTAATAAAATAATACTTAAAAAGTATTGGCTGCTTCATCTAATTTAGCAACATTTATAGATTATACAAACTTCTCGACTTTAGGCAAGGACATTTTATGTTTTAGAAGTCCTCGCAATCTTTTGAAAAACTAATATGAAATCACAGATTTTATTCAAGTTAAAAATTTTTTTCGAGTTACATTTATGAAAGATCAAAAAAGATCTAAATAAGCACCAATTATTCAGATAATTAGACCATTAGATCGTATCACAATCCTTTAAAACAAGATCTTATGGTCTCGGTGCATGGGTGAATGCTTTATGAACTTGCAAAACATCCCCAAAATTTTTTTTTTCATCATTTGAAAACTCTCATCATACCGAAAATGTAAAAACAAAAAACTTTTTTCAAGAGGAGCCTAGAGGGAAATCACGTGATTTAAGCGAGTGTCTAGAAAATTTTTTGGTAAAGGTTGCTTAAAATAGAAAACTAAGAAACATGTGGTGTTCTTAAATTTCTAGTATGCTGATACTGAAAAAAAATGAGGAAGAGCTAAACCAACCCCCATTCCGACCCCATCCTAGAATTACGTTTCCTCGGATTATAACTTTTTAAGTTCTATCAAAAATCAGATTGAAATTTATCGAGGCATTATAAATTTCATAAAAAAAAACAATTTTCGTTTAAAATTTATTTAAAAAAATGTGAAGTCTATTATAGCAAGTGAAGATCTATTATAGCAAATGAAGATCTATTATTTTTTATGTTTCTTTTACTATTTTATGCAAGATTGATTTTTACAATAGTATAATTGATTTTTGCATATTTACAATTATCCCAGTAAGCACACATCGTTTTTAAAGCGTTTAAAAAACGCTAAAATCCGTTTTAATAAGTTTTTTAAACGTTTTAATAAGTTTTTTAAACGTTTTAAAAACGTCCTGTGCTTACTGGGATCTAATTGTTAGGATGCAATTAGCAACAACAAGCCGTTGTAATATAACAACTCCTCACATGCATTGGCAAATAAACAGAAAACAAGTTTTCGGTCATTATATTGAAACTTAATTAATCGGATCGATGTGTCATGCCAATTATGTAAATGCATTTTAGAAATTTTTGTTTGAAGCATTTACTTAAAATGCTAACCTAGACCTTCCTAGCATATTTAGCTCAAAATGCTGAAAAAAGTGTGTTGGGAATAACCCTTACTTTACTACGTGATCGTGACCGTGAAGGTAAAATATATACTAATATGTATTTTGGTTAAAATAAATACTAGTATTTATTTTGGTTAAAATAAATACTAGTATTTATTTTGGTTAAAATAAATACTAATATGTATTGTAGTAAAATATATACTAGTATATATTTTGGTTAATATAAATACTACTATTATGTATTGTAGTAAAATATATACTAACATCTATTGTAGTTAAAATTTAGTTATCTAATTATGGTACTGGAGTTACTAGGCATGTGCTATAAAATTTAGACTTGAATATCTGAGTTATCAGAGGGAGAAAATGTGATTGTTTTATAGTTAAAAATGGACGCAAGTCAATACTGCAAAAAATATTTGCCCCTATGGATGAATGTGTTTGGTAAAACCTGTTTATTAAAATGCTGATAAATAAAAATAAATATCAATGCAGATTTACTTAAACTATCTGTTTCAAATAAACACACAATAAACGATCTTTTTGCTCAGATTACTATCCCAGCTAACACAAAACGTTTACAGTACGTTCGACAAACGTTGGGAACGTTCGAGCACGTTTTATGAATGTTCATAAAACGTTCTTGAACGTTTGCAACGTTCGATGAATGTTTTGTGTTAGCTGGGATGTCATAGAGGTATACGCAATTTCACATACTTGTACAAAATTAGAAAGACAAAAAAATTTGATGGCCAATGGAAGATCAACATCCCCTACAACGCAAGGAAAGGTTCTGTGCAGCTCGATGAAAGGTTTTAGCGACCAGGGAACACTTTAGCTTTGAAACCTTAATTCAAAGTAAATTGTTGTCTCTGTCGGAAAGACTGAGGTTAAGAAACTTTTTTTTGTGTGTGAATAAATTGAACAAGTTTCAACTAAAACTACAAACCAGGTAAGGCTTTGATGCAACAACAGTGCATTAAAATCTTACCTGATTATTCAAACACAAAAGCAACGGAGCCATTCCAGTGGGCATGTGTCATACGGGGGATGTCCGTCGAACGTCTTAAGTTGTCTGGCGTATGTCCCCCGGACGATGCATGCCCACTGGGATTGTTCTACATCATCCATATTCTGGATGAGTTTTATATTTAGGTGTTGTGCAGTTATTTTTTGGTTGTTTTGTTGCTAAGAATAACTTGATTTTATTTCAGCATAATTAAACGAGTCCAAATATTGTTAACTTATACTTCAATACAATCGTAACATCTAGCTTGCTTTTAAGTAACTGTTTTTTAAAGTATATTTAAGTATTACTTTGAGGAAAAAAGTCTTTTTCAAACAAATAATAATAGATTACTTTTACTAATAAAAAAAAAATCATTTAAAATATTATAGAAGTATATCACCATTACAAGTATCAGCATAAAAAATTATTTAAGAAACAATTGCAGTTAGCCCAAACTTACAAAATGATTTTATAAATATTTAAAAATTGAAATGAATCCTAAAGTTAAATATACTAAATATCTACCAAATAAATATTTATCATCTTCTAATTTTTATGTTCAAAACTAATAAAAGTATTATTCCAAAAACTTTTGATCTCTTTAAGAGATCAAAAGTGATAAATTATCACTTTACCAATTTTGCGTTTGTTTATGTTATATTGTCAAGGGAAATGCTTATTTTTAAATTAAACTTTATATTCACGGAATTTATCAAGGGGTTTGGCGATAAGACATATTAGTCTTCTTCTCACTCCTGCTACATATATATCTTGTTATTAAGATACAGTTTGTATATATTAACACGGCAAAAAAAAAAAAAAAAAAAAAAAAAATTACTTTATTTGGAATTAGTTGGAACTGCTTTCAAAAAATCTTCAAGTTGCATCACTTCATAAAAAACGTTGTTTACAATGAAACCAACCGTACTAAATGATAAAATCTAATAAAATTCAAAAGTAACTTTATTTAAAAAAATTTATATAAATTAATACGCTGTTGAAAATCATAAAGTAACTTGAAGCTTATTTACTTTATTATTATAGTTAATTATTATTTAATTATTATTATCGTTGTTGTTGTTATCTTTATTGTTGTTATTATTATCATTATAACTATTATTATCATTATATATATATATATATATATATATATATATATATATATATATATATATATATATATATATATATATATATATATATATATATATATATATATATATATAGTGATAAAATAAAAATAGAAGGTAAAACGTTTAAAATTCATCAAATATTTTATTGTTAAATCTTCAACATAAAAGTCTATTGTTATTTTGAAAACTATCTTCAACATGAAAACCGTCATTGTGATAACTATCTTCAACGTAAAAATCTATTTTCATAGTAAAATTTTGATTGTAAACAAAAATCGTGACCAGCAAGGAAAATAGAATTTAATAATTAATTTTATAATAATTCTATAGGTTTCATCTTAAATATTCAAAAAAACATGCATAGTATTTTTTGTAAATAACATTTTTGTATATTAATTATTGTCTATATAATAATGTTGTCTATATAATAATGTTGTCTATATAATAATGTTGATAATGCAAGTAAATATAAGAGTTGAATGTAATATAATAAAACGTAAAACGATTTAGATTATGTATTAAATAAAAATCAATTTTTTAAATATATATCTAATAATACTTGATTCTCGGACTCGATTAAAAATTTATAAATAATTAATCTCGGTGCGATATGGATCGTATAAATAGCATGCATTAATCAAACATATATAGTTTGAAGATCACAGATATAACATATGGTGATTGATTTTCTTTACCTATTTTAAAGTAAAAACGAATGATTTCAGTTTTTTAGTAGCGACGTTATTTCGGTTTTTAAAAAAATGATTGACAATAAAAAAAAAACATTCTCATAAAAGTAAAAGACAATTTTTTTCATTAACAACTCTATATCATAATTTTATTTTGCGCTTCATTTGCATTTTTTTTTTGTACCGCATTTTTTTTTTCAAACGCGGTTTTTTTTTTACCCCGTTTTTTTCAATCATATTTTCATTTTATAACGTTTTTTCTTGCTTTTTCTAAACTTACGCACAGGCTATGAGGAAGGAAGCCACTCGTTACAAAAATCCCCCATTAAATGATTTTAAAATCACCATTTTGTTTTAGAACATCCAACTAAAATTCCGATTGACCAAGAAGCCAATTCATGCAATCCATTTGCTGATGATTTACTTTCACAGGGACTTTATAACATAACGTAAACTAATTTAATTTAAAAGAAGACTGACAAGTGACATCCATTTGTTTATAACCATTGAAAATGGCATTTGCCCCATGAGCATTATCATTTTTAGATACAATATCAAATAAAATATGCAAAAAGCAGAAACCATCAAATGTTAAAATAAAAATTTTAATGCTTTTTTAGTTTATAATTTTCAAAAAAATTCGTAAATTTTTTAGTGAAAGTCTTATTTTAAAAAATTTATAAATTTTTGAGTGAAGGTCATATTATCTAAAACTAAAGTTATTAGTCATTTTTGATATAAGTAGTACCGATTTTAACAAAAAGTTTTATTCCATAGATTAAATTCATTAACATAACAGTCAATAAAACATAGGCTCTAGTCCTAATCGTACCATGGCCTTGCGCTTTTATTTTATCTTGAAAATTTTTAATTTTTTTTTTTTAATTTCTTAAGAAGACAAGGGAATGTTGACGAAAAAGGTGGAGCTTAATAAAGGTCTTATTTTACCTCTAACTAGAACTGACGAGGTTGATAAGAAAATGCGAAAAAGCACTTTAATAAAAGAAAATAAAAAGAAAATAAAAGTGTAATTGTAATGACGTAATAATGATATGTTTTAAACTATTAATACTTAATTTGGTTTAGACAAGGTAAAGAAAATTTTATTCAAATCAGATTTACCGATAACAGAGGCAACCTTGTGCGTTCCACTCTAACCACGTGAGGCCGTCAAAAAAAAAAAAACTTTGATATTTATGTTTTCGTGTTTATGGTCTTGATCTTAATAACTTTTAATTTAATTAAGTTACTAACTAATCTTTTATATAAAATCAAATCAAAAACAAAGTCCTGAATAAAACCTCCCCTCATTTTGAGGGGGTTGGAAATTTTGAATAGTCATAACTTTTGTAATTTACAATACTTTTTCTATGAAATTTTGAATCTGTCGATAAATTTAAATTTAATTTAAGATAGTAAAGCTGAAAATTTTACTACATTAGTGCCTTCACTTTTGGGCAGGGGGAAGGGGTGCAAATATTTTAGGGCTTTTTTGTTCCCAGGCCTCCGCCATCACACTTTTTTGCAAGGCTTTCTCATTTGGTATAGTTATGAACATACTTAAGTTTGGAGTTTACACAATGTGTGGAAGTGTCCTATCTGAAACATCAAAAAATCCTGCGGGCGCCCATGACATAGTCATGGGCGCCCATGTCTATAAAAAATAAAAACCAATAAAGTTATATTAATTTAAATTTTCTTATTAGAAGAAAAAATCAATGAAAAAAATATTATCTTTTATTCAGACTTAACGTTTCTCCAGTTGTTAAAGTATGAAATTACTTCTTTACTATTTCATGAAGTAGAACTACAAGACATATTATTAAAGTGTTGTGATTCTAATGTATTGTCACTGTTACTGCTGTTCAAAATATATAGTTTTTTTATTACTTTCAAGATCAAGTTTTCTTTTTCTTGTCATGAAGATCTTATTTTGCCTTTCATTATGTTTTTTCTTTTTTGACGGAGATTTTTTTATTTTTTTTCTTGAAGCTTATTTAGTTCATTTTGAACAGGAGTGTCAGTGAGTATTTAGGTGGACTGACGCTTATACCCTTTAACCGACTTCCTTGATCTAGCTTTGGAAATAGCTAAAATTTTTCTAGACTTTCTTGATGAGAAATATTAATTAAAACACTAGATAATTGACTTCCAGGGTCAGATATAGACTAAATAGGCAATGCACTACAAGCTGAACCGAATGACAGACTTGACGTCGATGATTGATTAAAAAGCTGGGGCATGAACAATATCAGAAACTGGATAAAGAACACCTGGAAATGGGTTAGCAGTAATTGGTTCTGGACTGTCTGTTAAATATGTCTTAGAATTAAAAAGCCACAGCAAACCCTACAGAAATGTTATATAGAGTAAAAGCTTTTCCATAAGCTTTCCTTACAACTGCAGCTATATCGTATATGGTAATTGGTCTTGGATTAGATACAACTCAATCATCACAAGCTGATTTGTTATATAGTTTCAGTGGCCCATAAACTGACCGATCTAATTGCTGTAGCTTGCGACAACAATGTGGTGGAATGAACAGAATAGTTATGTCATTTTTTTTAGCTAAATCTAAACACACAATTGAAACATGGCTCTTATGGTTGTTACAAATTAAAAGCGCTGGATTAGCTGGTGAACATTTCACATTTTGAATAAAATGTTTCATCCATTCTAAAAACTTTGCAACATTCATTCAACTAGATGGGTTTGCAACTCTAGCACATCCAGGTGGACCACCATTTATCATACTTCCTTTCAAATAAACTCTTGGAAAAATAAAAAATGTAAGGATTGAGTTTCCTATTGCATTAGCTGCACAACAAACTGTTACCAATATCTCTCTTTCTTCTAAAGTTATCCTTTTATCTTGTTTATTTCCTTTACCAGCAGTTACTTTAACTCGTTGTGAGACTTGACCACTTGAACAGTTGTGAGACCTGTCTCATCAACATTATAAATGTTTTGTGGCTGAAACTTATGTCTCATCTTTTACAAACATCTTTTAGATTAGTGAAAAGTTCTCCAACTGTATAACAATTAAAAGCAGTTGCTTATGTCATACAGGTAACTTTTGGATTTCGTAAAGATAACTCGTTCTTACGTAACATAAAAAATTTCCTTACATATCTATTAAGTGTCATTAAATTTATTCCCTTTTCCTTAGATACACGATAAACTGTACCACCATTAATAACGCACACATATTATAAAATCTTCATTTTAAGGCTGTATTTTGGGAAAAAAAATTATTTAAAAACAATATGACATATTGTAAATGTTACTTTATTGCTTTTACATTGTGTATATTCACCTTTAATCATGAGATAAAAGGTGCATAAATGCATTAGGATTAAGGGTGCTTACCCGCTTTAAAAATTACTTTTTTTTCATATTATATGCTTCTATAGTTTACCGAAAGCAACCATACAAGAAGTGAATATTTTACTTACAAAATGACAAAAGCAAAGTTGAGTAACTTTGCTTATGTCATTTTGTAACAACAAAAAAATATTAAAGATGCGAGGTTCCTTTTAAATGCAAAAAAATTACTTTTTGGTGAGAAAATCAACTTTTTAAATCAAGTTTATCAAATTTAGTAGTGGTCTATTCTCTAACTAAAATACAATTAATTTTGAAGATACAATATTTATAACACACTGGTTATCAGCCCTCTTTAATAAGTTATGTAAGAATATGGAGATAACGCTATGCACAGAGGGCTAGGTGGTGGACAAAAGTAAAAATAATACATTATCAAAAATTACATTATTGTATACCATTTTATAGCTTAAACATTTAACTTTTCTAAAATGTATATATTTTTGTATAATCATCATGTCGTATGCTTCTAATGAAGCATACGACATGTATGCTGTAGACATGTCGTATGCTTCTAATGAAGCATACGACATGTATGCTGTAGACATGTCGTATGCTTCTAATGAAGCATACGACATGTATGCTGTAGACATGTCGTATGCTTCTAATGAAGCATACGACATGTATGCTGTAGACATGTCGTATGCTTCTAATGAAGCATACGACATGTATGCTGTAGACATGTCGTATGCTTCTAATGAAGCATACGACATGTATGCTGTAGACATGTCGTATGCTTCTAATGAAGCATACGACATGTATGCTGTA